TGAATGATATTATAACTGAACTAAATGACACTCGTTTAATGTTCATGTATGATACTATTAACATTAGCAACTTTGAAATTAAATTCTACATGTAATTGCATTACTTTACTCCTTTCAAAAAATTATGGGTGGAGTTGGGTGTTCACACAGCACATCCTATAATTTGCAGCTAAGCTCCGATGTCTGGAGCAATGTTCTCCTTTGTGCTGATGATAATATTTTTTGCTTTTGTGGATGCTTCTAATACAGGCCAGCAGTGCACATGGAATGCCAATACTTGCCCTGGCTGCTCCTTTTATATGCAGCCACCATTAGGTACATCTAAATAGATAACTTTTTACTTTATAATTATATTTTCCCAATGATCCACAGACATTACTGCGGGTTTTCAATTGTACAAAAAAAATTCTTCATGTTTGGATAATTCTGGCTATGAAATTGTCCAAAACAGATCGACTTTATATTCTTTTGCTCACAATGAATTTTTGACTTCATATAACATAGCAGAACTTTTGTGTGCATCAAATAGCGGAGCTGTAGAGTGGCAATCAGGTCAAATAAATTTTCATCCATCATCAGGGACAATAGAATTACTTTTATGTACATATAACTTTGCTGATTGTTGCTACTGTTGTTCTCAGGCTGCTAATAGTGTTGTAGTAGGTGTCCATCAGTGCATTCAATCAAATGGTGGCGATAAATTGCAGTTCACACATAGTATATATAACTTAAGTAGTAATGAGATATGTTCAACTCAGATGACAATTACTCAAACTCCATTCACAACAATTTTAACAGAAACTATGCACTCCCCTGTTTCTTCATCCTTAATTTCAAATATTAAGTATTCAACCACCTCTTCTATGTCAAGTCCAGATTTTTTAAGCTCTACATTAACATTATCATCATCATATATTTTTTCATCATTGTCAACATCCTCAGCATTTTTAACATCAGCATCTACACTAGTACCCCCAGTACAATCATCATCAACAGTACCCCATTATACTGGTATTGGTTTATTAGTAGCTACTAACCTACTGACAGTCATTGCATTAATCAGTAGCTGTGTCTACATATTCTGCCAGAGGAAAAAATCAAAATTGTAAGTGTTTGTATCATTACAACACTCTTAAATTTAAGTATTATATTTTAGCATTGTAACAGAAAATGAACAAATATCCTTACAAAACACATCTCCTCAAACTGAAGCAACAAGGTATATGTAAATTATTAAAGAAATACAATGACTGTTATCTTATCAATAGTCACAACACTGAAACTAACCTAACCAGTAACAATAACACTAACATTACTTCTGGTACTAACATATACTCCTCAGTTGAAGATGAGGTTGATCATAATCATCATCATCATCACCGCCCACCAGTAAGAGTAGCCAGTCAATATGAAGTACCTCTGGACTTATTACAACAAGCACATGTTCCTCTCCCTCCTCCTCCTCCTCTTTATGCTACTCTTGATGATCAACATGATCTTACTCTACCCAACCCTGAGTATATTACTAATACAGCAGTAACAGCACCTAATCCTGGTTATATTACTAATATAACACCTAAGGCTAATCCTGGGTATAGCAGTACTGCTATCAAAGAAGAAGGAGAAGGGGGAGAGAGAGGAGAGGGAGAGAGGAGAGAAGAATTGGATTACAGTTATGCCACTGTTAATAAGTTCCTCAAGAAACCCACTGAGGACACTGAGTATAATAAACTCCAGCATGATTAGCATACATAGTCTGCTTCAGACTGCTTGTGTGTACATATATTGTTGATTTTTATTTTGTATACAACTAAACTATGTCCTCTTTAATTATCATGACTCAGTTTTTCAAAATATATTCGAGATTTTAATATGTAAATTTAAGGGGACACTCTCCTTCAATGGATGTGTTCAGTTATGGTGTCCTCCTTCTAGAGATGATAACATGACGTATTCCTCTACCAAAAGAGAGAGTAGGTCTTATTGATGGTATTAGAAGAGCCTCATTTAGGTCTCTTGTTCAACGCTGCCTGATAGTTGAGTATAGACACCGTCCAACAATGAATGATATTATAACTGAACTGAATAGATATTTAATAACTACTAGTATATACATGCTTTGTTTTCTGTTACTTTTGAGTTAGACTGATTTGTTGTAGCTCCTGGTTGTAGTTGTGGGTGTGCTATGGATCTAAATGCCACACCTTGTACTAGCTAATTCTAAACTGAGCAGAGAAGATGAAATTTCATTATGTGATTGTACTATTGACGTTTGCTGCAGAGATTTATGCAACTGAGATATTTGAAGGTTTGAAGATTATTTTGAAAAGACATCAATTTTTTTTAGATATTGATCTGTGTTCAGTTGAAATGAATCTACCAAATAACTCAATCATTTACATGTCAGGAAACCCATGTGGCCAGGATCAGCAAATTGAATGTTTTAATCTTAATAATGGATCTAAAATTGACACTATAAATCGTAATGAGAGTAAAGAAGGAATACATGTATGCCACCTTAATGATGGAAACTTTTTATTTGCAATATATCTTTGCTCTAGTAAGTTGTATTATGACTAGATCTACATGCTCATAATGTAGTATTTTGATAGATTATCCTATGCCATTGTCACTTTCTGATTATCATCTGAGTCTGGCAGAGAATGAAACTTTGTTATATTTTAGAGCTAATAATGGGCCAATCAACAGCATAAACTGTTCACTTAATGATCAAGAAATGCAGCCGGTTCCTTTCATACAGACAATAAAATCAACTTATTCAACTTTAATAGAATTGATTGTGCCTTTTAATCAAAATGAATTGTGGTACAATTGTTCAGTATCAAGCAACAGTATAGTGTATCCACCATGTCCAGAATCAAATTATTCTGTTACGTATTTTGTTGATACATATTTCAAAGGTATCTGCTAATGCATTTTAAATATTTAACTTCTAATCATTTTAATAGTTTATTTAACTTCAAAAAATGAAGCAGCAGTTAACTGGTTGACGTACTCATATTGTGACACTTATCCCACAATTAACCAAACTGGATTTGAACTATTTTATAAGGTTAAAATATTTTTTGCATCATAAATTTTATTAATCACAAATTCACTTTAGTTCCCAGATTCTTATTCACCAACGTCCTGTATGCCAGTATCTACATTAACATTATATTCAACACAGGCAGTTACCATATTCTCTACAGTTACCATATTCCCTAGTACTGAAACCACCTCAACACAAGAATCTGCAGCTGCACAAGAATCACTTTACGCTGGAATTGGAGTACTTGCATTTACTAATGTCATTACATTAATTGTTCTACTATTATGTTCATTATTCTGGGTGAATCAAAGAAAGAAGAAGAGATTGTAAGTGCTTAATGTCATTTTTTGCTGAAATTTAAAAAAATTTTAATGCAGTAACATAAGTGAGAGGGAACAAACAATATCTTTACAGAACACCTCTCCTCAAACTGAAGATACAAGGTATATGAAAATTAGTGAAGATACACAATAACTGTTATCTTATCAATAGCCACAACAATGAAACTAGTCCAACCAGTAACAATAACACTAACATTACTTCTGCTACTAACATATACTCCTCAGTTGAAAATGAAGTTGATCATCATCATCATCATCACCGCCCACCAGTAAGAGTAGCCAGTCAATATGAAGTACCTCTGGACTTATTACAACAAGCACATGTCCCTCTCCCTCCTCCTCCTCCTCTTTATGCTACACTTGATGATCAACATGATCTTACTCTACCCAACTCTGAGTATATTACTAATACAGCAGTAACAGCACCTAATCCTGGTTATATTACTAATATAGTACCTAAGGTTAATCCTGGGTATAGTACTACTGCTATCAAAGAAGAAGGAGAAGGNGGAGAGAGAGGAGAGGGAGAGAGAAGAGAAGAATTGGATTATAGTTATGCCACTGTTAATAAGTTCCTCAAGAAACCCACTGAGGACACTGAGTATAATAAACTCCAGCATGAATAGTATATTACATAGTTTGCTTGTGTGTGTGTATACATTCAATTAACTTTCAGTTTCAATTTGTGTGTATGTATATCTGATGTCTAATCAGTCTCTTCCTTTTCATTATCATAAGTTTTATTTTCATAGTCTTTTGTATTATTATTTAGTGCTGTCATAATTTTCCCCAAATGCTACACAACATTGCCGCTTGATTATCATCATTATTATTACACATATTTGTACATAATTTATTGTCCATTGTCCATATTGACAGTTGTTGTTACAATATTAAAAAGATTGCTTACAATAATTGAACTATTCAAGGTCCATTCTCTACTATGCATCATTCATCAATGATTAGTTTCTCAGTCTATGACAGCACATATACTTCATTATACTTTCATTCTCAATTTCAAGCAGCTTCTGCTCTACCTGCATGCGTAGTAACTAGCATAATCCAGGATGAAACTCTTAACTTTATTTCTCATGTTGTCATTTTTTACCATCTCTTGTTATGCTGCATGCAATAGTTTAAATACTCCTTCACCACAGGCTTCACCAGGTAAGACTATATAGTTAATTATAATGAAATTGTGTGTGTTCTATTATATACTGTACAGGTTTCTTTTTGTATAAAAATGATGAATATATTTCAAATATGTCCACCATCTATCGTTGCAATCACTGTGAATCACAGTGCTCCATTAACACTGCATTATGGTGCATCAGAAGAATCCCAATAAACTCATCAATGGAAACAATGAATACTTATGACTATACATTTGATTACAATGTTTCTGTTGAATGGATTGAGCCAACTCCTTCTCAAACAAGCCCTCAATATTTATCTTCTCAAGTTAATCATCAGCTGTGCTTATGTAGCTTAACTACTGGAGCTAGTCCATGCAATTCAAGCAGAGATGATGAAGGTGTCTATAAATGTATTGTAAAAGGGAGCAGTGTGACAGAGACTTTACAGTTCACATACTCAGTGTACAAGCTCACCACAGTCACCAGTACTGGTAAACCTTCTACTCCAAGCAATGTTATAATAACATCATCATTTTATCGAACAATGGGAGCATCAACAACAACTTTTTTATCAACAGAAACAACAACAACAAAAACAATAACAAACATTCCTTCAATAGATACTTTATGTTCCTTATGTTCATTGCATGCAACAGCATGTCCTTCATCAAATCAGAACTCAACTCTACCATATTATGGTGGAATTGGTCTATTGGCTACTACTAACCTGGTGACATTCATTGTATTAGTTACTGGCTGTGTGTACATAATACACTCAAAAAAACAAACAAAATAGTAAGCAACATTACGAGTATTATTATTATTATTATTATTATTATTATTATTTACAATATATGTACTCAATTTTAACTTCAAAATACTTCAATCAATACTCATTTTTTTTTCTTCTCCCTCTTAATTACTTTTCATTCTCTATAGTGCATTAGGAAGATCGAGAGCTAACATTACTGTACTACAGAGTAATCCCATAGGATCACTGAGGTATTACACTCACATGTCCACACATGTACATGTAGATATAGTAATGTGTATACAGTCAGTTATGATAACATCTCCTTGATTGTAGTGTCATAAATATTGAAACTGAAATACGAAATGAAGATTATGATTCATGCTCTCACAAACGACAACAACAACAACAACAACAACAACAACAACAAGAGTCCTCCCATCCTTCAATAGATATATACTTGTCTGTGGATGATGAAGATTGCACTCACTCAACTGCTGATGATAATGATGAATATGCTACACCAGATGATCTGTTTGAGATTAAGAGGAAAGGATCCAACCCACCACCTTCAGTACCCCCTCCTTATGCTGGTAAAGAGATTGCTATGGTGGAAGAGACAGTGAATGGAGTTGGTAACAGCAGTAGTGTTGATAATTTTGATTGCTTGTATGCAACAATTGGTAGCAAGGAGGAGGAGAAAGAACAAGCAAGTTAATAAAGATTAATAAAAATAATTTTGTACCCTGTTCCTGTTTTAATCATTTGTAACTTCTTGTTATTATTATTATTATTATTGTATATATTGAGAGTTGTTGTTACAATATTAAAAAGATTGCTTACAATAATTGAACTATTCAAGGTCCATTCTCTATTATGCATCATTCATCAATGATCAGTTTCTATATGACAGCACATATATACTTCATTATACTTTCATTCTCAATTTCAAGCAGCTTCTGCTCTACCAGTGTACATAGTAACTAGGATAATCCAGGATGAAACTCACAGTTTTATTTCTCATCTTTTCAGTTCTTACTATCTCTTGTTATGCTGCTTGCAATGGAGACAATATATCACCAGCTTCACCTCCAACTTTAGCAGGTAAAAAAAATAATTAGCAAATATGTAATGTATTTCATAATGTACAGGTTTCTTCTTGCATAAAAATGATGAGTATATATCAAATATGTCCACTATATATCGTTGCAATCACTGTGAACCACATTGCTCCATTGATTGTGAAGTAACACCATCAAGATGTGGTAGTACTGGATTTTGGTGCATCAGAAGTATTCCAAAAAATTCATCAATGGAAGATTCAATGAATGTACATGGTTATAAATTTGATGACAATGTTTCTGTTGAATGGATTGAGCCAACTCCTACCCTAGCAAGCCCTCCATACTTATCTTCCCAAGTTAATCATCAGTTGTGTTTATGTAGCTCAAGTACTGGGGCTACTCAATGCAATTCAAGCAGTGATGAAGGTGTTTATAGATGTATTATTAAAGGGAGTGATGTGACTGAGACTTTACAATTCACATACTCAGTGTACCAGCTCACCAGTTCAAGTACTTGTTCTGGAAATAGTTATGTTATAATAACGCCATCATCTTCTTATCAAACATTGAAAGCACCAACAACAGCTTTGTTATCAAAAGAAACCACAACAGCATCAAAAATAATAGCAACAAGAACAACAATATCATCAACAACAGAAACAACAACAGAAACAACAACAACAACAACGGTAAACAATTTTTCATCAGTTACTTCAGTTTCATCATCTTCATTAAATTCAACAACATGTCCCTCATCAGTTAAGGATCAGAACTCAACTATACCACATTATGGTGGGATTGGTCTATTGGCTACCACTAACCTGTTGACACTGATTGTATTGGTAACTAGCTGTGTGTACATTATCCACTTAAAAAAACAAACAAAATAGTAAGCAACATTACCAATTATTTGCAATACATCTATATTCAATTTTCAATACTTCAAAATACTTCAATCAATGCTCATTCCTTTTCTCTTCTCTATAGTGCATTAGGAAGATCAAGAGCTAATGTTACTGTACAAAGTAATCCTATAGGATCATTGAGGTATTGATACATTCACATCACATGTCTATGCATGTACATATACATCAGATATAGTAATTATGATAACATCTCCTTGATTGCAGTGTCATCAACATTGAAACTGAAATACTAAATGAAGATTATGATTCATGCTTGCACAAACAACAACAACAAGATCAACAACAACAACAACAACAAGAGTCTTCCCATCCTTCAATAGACATATACTCGTATGCTGTGGATGATGAAGAAGATCATTCAACTGCTAATGATAATGATGAATATGCTACACCAGATGATCTGTTTGAGATAAAGGGGAAAGGATCTAACCCACCACCTTCAGTACCCCCTCCTTATGCTGGGAAAGGGGTTGCTAAGGTTGAAGAGACAGTGACTGGAGTTGGTAACAGCAGTAGTGCTGATAATCTTGATTGTTTGTATGCAACCATTGGTAGCAAGGAGGAGGAGAAAGAACAAGCAAGTTAATGAAGATTAATTTTGTACTCTTTTTCTGTTTTTATCATTTGCAACTTCTTGTTATTATTATTATTGTCTCTATTGAGTGTTGTTATTAAAATGTTAAAAAGATTGCTTACAATAATTGATCTATTCAAGGCCCATTCTCTACTATGCATCATTCATCAATGATCAGTTTCTCTATGACAGTAGTCACAGTACATATATACTTCATTATACTTTCACTCTCAGTTTCAAGCAGTTTCTGCTCTACCTGCATATGTCGTAACTAGTACAGGATGAAACTCTTAGTTTTATTTCTCATTTTTTCAGTTCTTACTATTTCTTGTTATGCTGCTTGCAATGATTTTAATGTACCACCAGCTTCAGCACCAGCTTCAGCAGGTAAATATAGCTATTAGTGATAATGCAATTGTGTGTGTGTTCTGTTATGTACAGGTTTTTTTTAAAATAAAAATGATGAGTATATATCAAATATGTTCACTGTTTATCATTGTGATCACTGTGAATCACAGTGTTCAGCTGATTGTGAACAAACACCAAAATATGGTAGTACTGTATTATGGTGCGTGAAAAGTGTCGCTACAAATTCATCAAAAGAGGAATCAATGAGGGATCAAGATGGTATTATATTTGATAACAGTGTTTCTTTTGAATGGATTGAGCCATCTCCTACCCTAGCAAGCCTTCCATACTTATCTTCCCAAGTTAATCATCAGTTGTGTTTATGTAGCTTAAATACTGGGGTTACTCAATGCAATTCAAGCAGTGAGGAAGGTGTTTATAGATGTATTATAAAAGGGAGTGATGTGACTGAGACTTTACAGTTCACATACTCAGTGTATAAGCTTATCACAGTCCCAACCAGTACTAGTACAACCTCTGCTCCTGGAAACAATATAATAACATCATCATCATCTTATCAAACAATGAAAGTATCAACAACAACTTTATTATCAACAGAAACAACAACAACAACAACAACGGTAAACAATTTTTCATCAGTTACTTCAGTTTCATCATCTTCATTGAGTTCAACAACATGTCCCTCATCAGTTAAGGATCAGAACTCAACTCTACTACACTATGGTGGGATTGGTCTATTAGCTACTACTAACCTGTTGACATTCATTGTATTGGTAACTAGCTGTGTGTACATAATACACTCAAAAAAACAAACAAAGTAGTAAGCAAAATTATCAATTATTTGCAATACATTTATATTCAATTTTCAATACTTCAAAATACTTCAATCAATGCTCATTCCTTTTCTCTTCTCTATAGTGCATTAGGAAGATCAAGAGCTAATGTTACTGTACAGAGTAATCCCATAGGATCATTGAGGTATTGCATGTTTGTATTCATACATCCATACATGCATGCATGTACATGTACATATACATCAGATATAGTAATTATAATAACATCTCCTTAATTGCAGTGTCATCAACATTGAAACTGAAATACTAAATAAAGATTATGATTCATGCTTGCACAAACAACAACAACAACAAACACAACAACAACAACAACAACAACAACAACAACAAGAGTCCTCCCATCCTTCAATAGATATTTACTCGTATACTGTAGATGATGAAGAAGATCATTCAACTGCTGATAATGATGAATATGCTGTACCAGATGATCTGTTTGAGGTTAAGAGGAAAGGATCTAACCCACCACCTTCAGTACCCCCTCCTTATGCTTGGAAAGGGATTGCTATGGTGGAAGAGTCAGTGAATGGAGTTGGTAACAGCAGTAGTGTTGATAATTTTGATTGTTTGTATGCAACCATTGGTAGCAAGGAGGAGGAGAAAGAACAAGCAAGTTAATAAAGATTAATAAAAATAATTTTGTACTCTTTTCCTGTTTTAATCATTTGTAACTTCTTGTTATTATTATTATTATTATTGTACATATTGAGAGTTGTTATTAAAATATTAAAAAGATTGCTTACAATAACTATTCAAGGTCCATTCTCTACTATGCATCATTCATCAATGATCAGTTTCTCTATGACAGTACATATATACTTCATTATACTTTCATTCTCAGTTTTAAGCAGTTTCTGCTCTACCTGCATATGTTGTAACTAGTATAGGATGAAACTCTTAGTTTTATTTCTCATCTTTTCAGTTCCTACTATCTCTTGTTATGCTGCTTGCAATAATTTCAATGTACCACCGGCTTTAGCACCAGCTTCAGCAGGTAAAAATAGCCATTAGTGATAATGCAATTGTGTAAGTGTGTGTTCTGTTATGTACAGGTTTCTTTTTAAATAAAAATGATGAGTATACATCAAATATGTCCACTGTCCATTATTGTGATTACTGTGAATCACAGTGTTCAGCTGATTGTGAACAAATACCAAAATATGGTAGTACTGTATTATGGTGTATGAGAAGTGTCCCTGCAAATTCATCAAAAGAGGAATCAATGAATAATGGAGATGGAGATGGTTTTATATTTGATAACAGTGTTTCTGTTGAATGGATTGAGCCATCTCCTACCCTAGCAAGCCCTTCATACTTATCTTCCCCAGTTAATCATCAGTTGTGTTTATGTAGCTCAAGTACTGGGGCTACTCAGTGCAATTCAAGCAGTGATGAAGGTGTTTATAAATGTATTATAAAAGGGAGTGATGTGACTGAGACTTTACAATTCACATACTCAGTGTACAAGCTTACCACAGTCCCCAGTACTAGTGCTCCTGGAAACAATGTTATAATAACGTCATCATCATCAGTTAAAAATGACCAGAACTCAACTCTACCATATTATGGTGGCATTGGTCTATTAGCTACTACTAACCTGCTGACATTCATTGTATTGGTAACTAGCTGTGTGTACATTATCCACTTAAAAAAACAAACAAAATAGTAAGCAAAATTATCAATTATTTGCAATACATTTATATTCAATTTTCAATACTTCAAAATACTTCAATCAATGCTCATTCCTTTTCTCTTCTCTATAGTGCATTAGGAAGATCAAGAGCTAATGTTACTGTACAGAGTAACCCCATAGGATCATTGAGGTATTGTATACTTGCATTCATATATCCATACATACATGTACATGTACAGGTACATCAGATATAGTAATTATGATTACATCTCCTTGATTGCAGTGTCATCAACATTGAAACTGAAATACTAAATAAAGATTATGATTCATGCTTGCACAAACAACAACAACAACAAACACAACAACAACAACAACAACAAGAGTCCTCCCATCCTTCAATAGACATATACTCATACGTTGTTGTAGATGAAGATTGCACTCATTCAACTGCTGATGATAATGATGAATATGCTGTACCAGATGATCTGTTTGAGATGAAGAAGAAAGGATCCAACCCACCTCCACCAGTACCCCCTCCTTATGCTGGAAAGGGATTGCTAAGGTGGAAGAGACAGTGAGTGGAGTTGGTAACAGCAGTAGTGTTGATAATTTTGATTGTTCATATGCAACGATTGGTAGCAAGGAGGAGGAGAAAGAACAAGCAAGTTAATAAAGATTAATAAAAATAATTTTGTACTCTTTTCCTGTTTTAATCATTTGTAACTTCTTGTTATTATTATTATTATTGTATATATTGAGAGTTGTTATTAAAATATTAAAAAGATTGCTTACAATAATTGAACTATTCAAGGCCCATTCTCTACTATGCATCATTCATCAATGATCAGTTTCTCTATGACAGTAGTCACAGTACATATATACTTCATTATACTTTCATTCTCAGTTTCAAGCAGTTTCTGCTCTACCTGCATATGTTGCAACTAGTACAGGATGAAACTCTTAGTTTTATTTCTCATCTTTTCAGCTCCAACTATTTCTTGTTATGCTACTTGCACTGATTTCAGTGTACCACCAACTTCAGCACCAGCTTCAGCACCAGCTTCAGCAGGTAAAAATAGCTATTAGTGATAATGCAATTGTGTGTGTGTTCTGTTATGTACAGGTTTCTTTTTTAATAAAAATGATGAGTATATATCAAATATGTCCACTGTTTATCATTGTGATCACTGTGAATCACAGTGTTCAGCTGATTGTGAACAAACACCAAAATATGGTAGTACTGTATTATGGTGTATGAGAAGTGTCCCTGCAAATTCATCAAAAGAGGAATCAATGAATAATGGAGATGGAGATGGTTTTACATTTGATAACAGTGTTTCTGTCAAATGGATTGAGCCATCTCCTACCCTAGCAAACCCTCCATACTTATCTTCCCCAGTTAATCATCAGTTGTGCTTATGTAGCTTAAGTACTGGAGCTACTCAATGCAATTCAAGCAGTGATGAAGGTGTTTATAAATGTATTATAAAAGGGAGTGATGTCATTGAGACTTTACAATTCACATACTCAGTATATAAGCTTACCACAGTCCCCAGTACTAGTGCTCCTGGAAACAATGTTATAATAACGTCATCTCGTAGAACAATAAAAGCATCAACAACATTACCAACAATAATAGCAACAACAGCAAAAACAACAACAAACATTCCTTCAATAGATACTCCATGTTCTTTAGATTTATTGCATGTAACAGCATGCCCTTCATCAAATCAGAACTCAACTCTACCATATTATAGTGGGATTGGTTTATTGCTGACAACTAACCTGGTGACATTCATTGTATTAGTAACTGGCTGTGTGTACATAATCTACTCAAAAAAACAAACAAAATAGTAAGCAAAATAACTATACATGATACTTCAATGTTCATTCCTTTTCTCTTCTCTATAGTGCATTAGGAAGATCAAGAGCTAATGTTACTGTGCAGAGTAATCCCATTAGATCATCAAGGTATTGACACATTCATTCATAAATCAATACATGTACTGTACAATTTTGATAACATTTATTTGTGTAGTGTCATCAACATTGAAACTGAAATACAAAATGAAGAGTATAATACATGCCCCCAGGAACAGCAGGAACAGCAAGAGTCCCCTCATCCAATAGGTGTATACTCATACGTTGTTATAGATAAAGAAGATCATTCAACTGCTGATAATGATGAATATGCTGTACCAGATGATCTGTGTGAGGTTAAGGGGAAAGGATCCAACCCTCCTCCTTCAGTACCCCCTCCTTATGCTGGGAAAGGGGTTGATAAGGTTGAAGAGACAGTGAATGGAGTTGGTAACAGCAGTAGTGTTGATAATCTTGATTGCTCATATGCAACGATTGGTAGCAAGGAGGAGGAGAAAGAACAAGTCAATAAAGATTAATAGAAAATTATTTTGTACTTTTTTCTATTTTAACTTCTGGTTTTGTCCCTAAACATTATTATATATTATTCTTATTTTATTGTAATATTGTGTGCATTAACTTTATTATTAAAATTTTTAATAATAAGGTTGATATTTTCTATCTTAAAATAATAGTAAAAGTATACAAAGAGAATGCAGTGAACAGTTTTGTACACAAAGAAATGGAGAAATAGAGGGAGAAAAAGATGATGGGGAAAAGAACAGAGAAGTGTAATAAACATACTATTATAAAAATGAAGTGAATAGCAAAAATAATATAATTATAATAATAATAAGTAGAGTGTCTAGTTCTTTTTTGTTAAATTGAAGTAGCGTAGGCTGAACAGGTTTGCATTCTGACGTTAGTTACATCAATTCTGCTGCTATCAGATCTGGGGCATGAACTAAAAATAGTAACACGTAGTACGTAATAATGATGTAATGTTAGTTTATAATATTTGTCTTACTCGTGTGATACGGAGGAATTTAATCTTTTTCTCTTCTGCTGCTTTCTGTTGCTTACTTTGAGATCATGACTAGAAAAAGAATGTAATAATAATAATAATAATAATAATAATAATAATAATAATAATAATAATAATGAAGTGATTGCATTTTCTGATACATATTAATGCCCTTATGCTGTGTAGCAAGTTTCAGCTGATTCTGACTTCAATTTCTCAAGTTACGGCCATTTTAAGAAAACGCCAAAATTTTGAAAAAATCCCTGTACTATAAGCCCATGGTTTTTTCCAAAACAGGGCCAAAAAATCACCCCCAATTTTTATTACATTTTCTGATACATATTGATGTCCTTATGCTGCGTAGAAAGTTTGAGCTGATTCCGACTTAAATTTCTCAAGTTACAGCCATTTTAAAAAAACGTCAAAATTTTGAAAAAATCCCTGTACTATAGCCCATGGTTTTTTTCAAAAAATGGCTCCAAAATCACCCCAACTTTTTATTACATTTTCTGATACATATTGATGTTCTTATGCTGTGTAGAAAGTTTGAGCTGATTCCAACTTTAATTTTTCGAGTTATAGCCATTTTAAGAAAACGTCAAAATTTTGAAAAAATCCCTGTACTATAGCCCATGGTTTTTTCCGAAAAATGGCCAAAAAATCCTCCCCAATTTTTATTACATTTTCTGATACATATTGATGCCCTATGCTGTGTAGCAAGTTTGAGCTGATTCCGACTTTAATTTTTAGAGTTACGGCCATTTAAAAAAAAACATCAAAATTCTGAAAAAATCCCTGTACTATAGCCCATGGTTTTTTCAAAAAATGGCTCCAAAATCACCCCAAATTTTTATTACATTTTCTAATACATATTGATGCCCTCATGCTGTGTAGCAAGTTTGAGCTGATTCCGACTTTAATTTTTTGAGTTACGGCCATTTTAAGAAAACATCAAAATTCTGAAAAAATCCCTGTACTATAGCCCATGGTTTTTTCCAAAAAATGGCCAAAAAATCACCCCAAATTTTTATTACATTTTCTGATACATATTGATGTACTTATGCTGTGTAGCAAGTTTGAGCTGATTTCGACTTCAATTTTTCGAGTTATGGTCATTTTAAGAAAACGTCAAAATTCTGAAAAAATCCCTGTACTATAGCCCATGGTTTTTTCCAAAAAATGGCCAAAAAATCACCCCAAATTTTTATTACATTTTCTGATACATATTGATGTACTTATGCTGTATAGCAAGTTTGAGCTGATTCTGACTTCAATTTTTCGAGTTATGAGCAATCAAATGCAAGTAGACATTAACAATAAACATCATAATTTATTATTATTAATTATTAATTATTATTAATGTACTGTACCTTCTCCTCTTAAGCCTGTTAGAATAGACGGTCAATATGACGGCCATTATCAAACAGAATATAATTGAGAGTCCCACAAACTCCGCAATCAAAGACCCAGCAAGGACCTCAACACTATATCTATTATCACTAGCTTTACCACAAGCAGGTGCTCCGTCACTCGGATATACAGGACAAGAAGAGTCTACTGTATAGTACCCAAAACCGTCAGATATTGCCGGTGAATCAAGTACCCAGTTCTCTACAAAAGCAGCGAGGCTTTGGGCGGAGTAGGGGGCGTGGCCATGTATCGTCATTCTGAGGGTGGGGTAGTTCGGGTCGTCACGGTTACAAAGTGTGTAGGTGGAGGATAGATGAGAAGAGTTAAAGTTGCAGGAACAGTGAGTGTTTATTTCAGACAAGACGAAAGTTAACATGAAATTAGTTACTGTTGAGTTTAACTGGTTCTGAGAGAAAGAGAGGGAGGGAGAGAGGAAGAGAGAGAGAGAGAGAGAGAGAGAGAGAGAGAGAGAGAGAGAGAGAAAGAGAGAGAGAGAGAGAGAGGAAGAGAGAGAGAGAGAGAAATGGGATATATTATTTTTTAAATACAAACAATATTGCTAGAAAAATTGTAACAATATTTTGTTAATTAAAATAACCTGTAATTGATTTAGCAGCCACAATGTCATTAAGCATGCTCAGAATAAAACAAAATAAAATGGATCCTATATTCATGAATATGTCCACTGTGTATTGCATAAGTATATAAATACAATATCACTGTATAATACAAGTATGCTTAATAATATTGCTTTATTGTAACTTTACTGTAACTACTAATCCACCATTAGTAATTCCCTGCTAATATTCCAACCATAAAATATATTATAAATAATAATAACATGGCTTCGTGTATTTTACTAGTACTTCATGAGGAAGAAGGAAAGAGAGAGACTAAGGAAAAGGAAGGGAGGATGTGAAATTTAAAGTAACAAACACAACACATTCAAAGAAAATTATCAGCTGCATCCAGTTCTCTCTATTTGATGTTGTTTGGATAAATTTAAAAATATTTTTATACTCAAAACCACACAAGAAAAACTCCCTCCCTTTTGGTCTTTATGTATAAATATAGAACAGCCCTTTTATGGTAATGACTTAAAATAGTAACAGAGAACCAATGGAGCATAATACAGGTTGATAGTAAATACCATAGTGTGTACATGTACAGCTGCAAATAATAATTGAATCAATTTGAAAAGAATGTATAGAGAGGGACACTGTGTTATTGTATCACATGCTAATCATGTGCAACACCCAAAATAATAATAATAATAATAATAATAATAATAATAATAATAATAATAATAATAATAATAATAATAATAATAATAATAATAATAATAATAATAATAATAATAATAATAATAAATACAGGTATTATATTACAGTGCATGTGCTGTACATGTGTACAGTTAGTGCCAATATGGCGGGTCTTATAGTACAAACTTTTTAAAGCATAGTAAAGACAGCTGCAGCATCTTAGAGCTACTTTAAACTGTTAACCTTTAATGGAAGCCACTAAAATTGTAGCGTCTGTGGATGATTAGACACTTAATCACAACATAACACATAAAAGAATTTATTATAATATACGCTATACTATTTTATTTGTTATTTTTGAAGGTATTTCATAAACAAAACATTCACTTTGAGTCTCTTATTGTTTGAGAAGATACACTATACAAAACATTATATTGTTTATAAGACAATGTGACATGTTAATTAGGAAAGCTACAGTCAATTGTATGTAAACAAAAACCTGCTAATAGTTGGCAAAAATAAAAGTGTTACTGTGCTGTAATAATAAATATAAAAATATTATGCTTTTTGCTTACTGTCCACGTGCTACAAGAAACGAACGGGCCCATCTTTACTTGAATTACTACTCCTAGAGGCGAGGAGAGATAGTGAGAGATGAAGAGAAAGATAGGGAGAAGAGAGATTACAGCAATACAAGGAAGGAAGGAAGGAAAGAACAGGAAGAGAAAGAGAGAGGAGGAGAGGGTGGTATTTCTTACCAGTTTGTGATAGACATGGTGTAGTAAGGAGGAGCAGTGTTAGCGCGGCTATTGTACAGGATCTACTCCAGGCAGCCATTGGTACAGGTATTAGTGGAACTTGTAAGGCTCGGGCTGTTAATAAACTAAAGAGTTTGCTTACCACAGCAAAGGAAAGTTGTAATACAACACAAGATTTATTTTAGTGTTCTTTTACAGCATCACTTGAATCACTTCCTCAATAGGTGGAGCTCACAGCAGCTAAGGTGATTTTTAACACAAAAATTTGGTATATTAATAATTATCACTATTTTTGTTCTATAACAATAATACTAAAAAGATCATTCTATTCTAAAACATTGACACACTATTCATCTTGTAAATGTTTGGAAAACAAAGAAATTCCATGGTGCCTTTCAGCTAAAGATAAAAGATGTTTCTTCTGTTTCTCCAGATTATCAATTAAATCAGAATGAGACTTCATCATTTTCTTATTAAATCTAGCTTGTCTCCTCCACTACATTGTATACAATTAATTTATTCACATGTATGGTTGTTACTTACTGCTTTAACTTGAGCATCCATTGCTCCTTTCTTTTCAAAATAATGTTGTTCCACTTCAGCTATATGTTCTTCGGCAATTTCTCTGTGCTGTTTTAAATAGCCCTAATGTTGAGAAAGAAAAAGTAATAACACACATCATAGCATCATACCTCTACTATCTTTGGTTTAATCTTTTGAAAATAATTATGACATTCTGAGAGGAAGTGTTTTTCTAATTCCTTAAGGAAAGCATCAATTTCTGATTTCCTTCAAACAAATTAAAAATAATACACCATAATGCATAATGACATACGATAAGTTGTGATTTGGATCATCTGGAGCAACAAAAAAACTATAAAAAATTATTAGAGCTATAAATATTTAATATTCACTTCTTAAAAAAATTTTTGATTCTGTCAAAAAAATTATAGTGCCTATAATTATGATTGAAAACAACAATACTATAGCTAAAATAAAATATTCCTTACACTTTGCTTTGTTCAAGTAAGTCACTTAACTTAAGATGTGGGCTACATAAACAGCAACAAATTAAACACAAAGGAATAAAATTAATCCTTACCTATCGACTGCTTTTCCACTGTCACTGATAGATTCAGAAATAATGGCATTTTTCTGCAAATGAGGATCCTCTATAAATTGCAAAA